TTCAGCTCCTGAGCACAGGTGTGTCCCAAGGAGGGTCAGGAGGTGACAGGTGTGTCCCCAGGTGTGTCTGAAAGTGACAGGATTGTCCCCAGGACGTGAAGGGGACAGTCCAGCTGTACCAGGTGTTCCCAGGTGTATCTCAGGTGTTCCCAGGTGTATGCCAGGTGCCCCCAGGTGTACCCACGTATATCCCAGGTGTACCCAGCTGTACCCAGCTATATCCCAGCTGTATCTCAGGTGTGCCCAGGTGTGCTCAAGTGCACCCAGGTGTGCCCAGGTGTATCCCAGGTGCCCCCAGGTGTATCCAGGTGTGCTCAGGTGCCCCCAGGTGTACCCAGCTGTATCCAGGTATATCCCAGGTGTATCTCAGGTGTGCTCAAGTGTACTCAGGTGTACCCAGGTGTACCCAGATTTATCCCAGGTGTACCCAGCTATATCCCAGATGCCCCCAGGTGTGCCCAGGTGTATCCCAGATGCCCCCAGGTGTTCCCAGGTGTTCCCAGGTGTGCCCAGGTGTACCCAGGTGTATCCCAGGTGTTCCCAGGTGTTCCCAGGTGTGCCCAGGTGTACCCAGGTGTGCCCAGGTGTGCTCACCTGCAGCACCCAGCCCAGGGCAAAGTCGGGGTGCATGAACTCCACCAGGTGCAGCAGCAGCTCCAGGGTCCTCATGTCCCCCTCGAAGCGATCGCGCAGGTCCAGGTACTGCACCTGGGCACGGGGGGGGCGGGGTCACCTGGGCGGGGTCACCTGGGCCCTCACCTGTCCCCCCCCCGCCCCCCCCAGGTGTCCCCAGGTGCCACCTTGACGGCCACGGGGGTCCCGTCGGGGAGGGTGGCTCGGTGCACCTGGGCCAGGCTGGCGGCGGCCACGGGCTCGTAGTCGAAATCGCGGAACATTCCGGAAGGGGTGGTGTGGAAATCCTCCAGGAACAGCTCGTCTACCTGGGACAGGTGAGACAGGTGAGACAGGTGAGGGGCACTGGGGATAGGTGAGACAGGTGAGGCAGGTGAGACAGGTGAGGGGACATTGGGGAATCCTCCAGGAACAGCTCATCCACCTGGCCAGGTGAGACAGATGAGAGACAGGTGAGGGACACCTGGGACAGGTGAGACAGATGAGGAACAGGTGAGGGACATTGGAGGCAGGTGAAGGACAGGTGAGGGACAGGCAAGGGACAGGACAGGTGAGATCAGGTGAGACAGGTGAGGGACACCTGGGACAGGTGAGGGACAGGTGAGGGACAGGTGAAGGACACCTAGGACAGGTGAGGGACAGGTGGGGGACACTGGGGGCAAGTGAGACAGGTGAGGGACACCTCAGACTGGTGAGAGACAGGTGAGGGACCTTGGGGGCAGGTGAGGGACAGGTGAGACAGGTGAGGGGACATTGGGGAATCCTCCAGGAACAGCTCTTCCACCTGGGCAGGTGAGACAGGTGAGGGACACCTGGGACAGGTGAGGGGACATTGGGGACAGGTGAAGGACAGGTGAGACATGTGAGGGACAGGTGAGGTGCACTGGGGACAGGTGAGACAGGTGAGACAGGTGAGACAGGTGAGGGACATTGGGGCCATCAGAGAATCCTCCAGGAGCAGCTCGTCCACCTGGGCACGTGAGACAGGTGAGACAGGTGAGGGACACCTGGGACAGGTGAGGGACCTTGGGGGCAGGTGAGGGACAGGTGAGGGACACTGGGGACAGGTGAGACAGGTGAGGGACAGACAAGGGACAGGACAGGCGAGGGACATTGGGGACAGGTGAGGGACAGGTGAGGGACATTGGGGACCCCTCTCACTCCGCTGTGTCCCCAACCCCAGGGCCGGGCTGGGCCTTCCTCAGGGGCCACCGTGTCCCCATTGTCACCTCCTGTGTCCCCAATGTCCCCCCAGTGTCCCCCC